TTTAGTGCAGTTTTGGCTAGCCGCTCAATTCTCACTAAAATCTCTGCACGGACTTCATCCAGCTTTCACGTGCAGGTGCACTAATCCTGTCTTCTACTATTCCAAGGTATTTGTACCCTTGAGTTCCTTCCAATAGCGCTGCTTTATCAGCGCATACTTCAGTATTAGTGGCTGACTTTCTGAATTTACTTCTAGTCCTACCACATTAAGAAACCTTCTAACTTCTTATGCCATAGATTTCATGATATCTTCATCAGTTGCAAAGATCTTGATATCATCTAAAAACAACAGATGATTCGTAATGTGCATTCCTTGATCAGTTGGAACGCCACCTTTGGGTACTTTATGGGTCCATGCACAGGATGAATAGCAACGGAGAAAGGCTATCACCTTGAAGAATTCCTTGTTATATTTTCTTCTCCATTATTGTTTCTCTATTGCTTTTCAATGTAATTGACCATCTGGAAGTGATGCTTCTCAGAAACCTGCTGATCCACGATGGCATGTTAAGCCTTTCAATGCACTTATTCGGGTATCCGTAATTAACTGACTTATTTAATGTGAACTGACTTGTTTAATGTGTAACGCTTGTTTAATGTGATCCCACATAATATAGAGCCGGTTCCCGTGCTCTTTGCAAACCGCCAGGATCAACATTGCTTGATCCTTCGCACCTTGAAGCTGTATAACAGTTCCTAATTGATTGTCTTCAAGCAGCTTCCTCATGGCAATATCTAACTGCATGACGCGTGCCACACATTTCGCTGTTAGCTTGTAAAGGTTCGACATACGAGTTATTGGCCTGAAGTCGCTGCCTTTACTTAGGACACTTTTTGGAATCAGGCAGGTAGTACCTTTATAGGACCACAGATCCTGTCCCTCCCCATTCAGATAAATCCTTCATATTACTTTGTACAGGTCTGGATGCAAGGAGGTGCAATTATGAATTCTTAATAAAAAAATTATAAATTCCATCAGACCTTGCCGCTTTTCAATTGGGCAAATAGGAGACTATGTTCCCATATTCGGCTTCAGAAGGAAAAGTATGATGCACTTCATCACCTGGAACGAATTCTTCCAGAAATTCGTTGTGTTGAATATTATCATACTTTCCCAGTCCGAAGTTCTTCCACTCGTACCCCCAAAATCCCTGATCTCTTCAGTCCTCACATTGAGGCTTACGTGCTGTCCTTCGGTCAGACTTCTATAAAGCCGTCGTCTGAACAGCTCGAATCTGGCGTTTTGTGTTTTGAACGCACATCGGGTCTCATAACTTTTTATTTTACTTTCGTAAACTTTCACACGGTCTGTCAATATGCTTAACGCTTCATGACAGTCACGCTTAAGAGCAAGTACGAGATTCATCTCCCTTATACACTTCTTGGTTTCTTTTAAATCTTTACCTCCCACATTTTTATCGGCCAAATTCCGTTCTATAAGGGATTTGTGGAAATTCAACAAGCTTATCCTCTTTTCTATGCTTCCTTTTCACCCCGATGGCTTCTTCTCTCGCCTCGTCATGTCTTTATGACATTGTTGTGCTGCCTTGCAATATCAGTCATTGACTTGGGGGATTCTGTGTAGTATATTCACCCGCCGCTTCGCTAATTGCTCCAAGTATGAACGGGTCCACGCTCTCCGATGTTATTTTCCGCATCCACTTTATCTGGTTTATCTCACGTCCCTGTGCCTCTTGCACCAGCACTATATATTTTTCCTTCACATCTAGATAAATCTTAGACTCGTGTAGCGTCTTTTCCTCGAAGTGCGTATTTTGTGAATTGTGGGGGGACGTGAGATAAACTCCTCCAAGAACCGTTTCTGTGAGCACGGACGACCTGT